CAGTGAGGAATGCACCCTGCTAGCACCATGCCAGCAGCAGAGCAAAGATGGACATCTGTTGGATGGCGATGTCTTCTCTACGTGACTCCAACTGTGCACCCTGACTGCACTTTAGACCCAGACAGGAGCTTTTAAGAAATGGCGGTATACGGCCACCCCCTAGAGATTCTGATTTAACTGCTTTGGGTGAACCTAGGCATTGGCACTTCTTAAAAGCTCCCCTGGTGATTTTAATGTGCAGCCAGGGGGTCAGTGTCTGGTCTATAATCCTTGGGTGCTAGAGCTAGGGTAACACTGAAAAGAGGCACGTTCTGGGCAGAGCCAAGTACGAGGCTCTCAAGGTGAGACCTGGGAACTGCAGCTGGTGTCAGCCTCCTTGAAGAACTCCCAGTCCTGAGGAGGGCTTCACAGCTGCATGCTCATGTCCCAGTTAGAACACTGGCAACACTTAGGGGTTTGACACCTTTAGAGATGTGGAAAACTTAGGAAGATTCAAGAAAAAGGGCGCCTGGGTGGCTCAGTCGGTTACGCGTCTGCCTTCGGCTCAGGTCATGATCTCAGGGTTCTGGGATGGAGTCCCACATCGGGCTCCCTGCTCAGCAGGGAGTCTGCTTCTCCCTCTCTCTCTGCCCACCACTCCCCCTGCTCATGCTCGCTCTCTCTGCCTCTATCTCTCTCTCAAATAAATAAAATCTTTAAATAAATTAATTAATTAAAAAAAGAAAAGAGTGGATGGAAAGATTTGAGAATTTGGAATATAAAATATATGAGTCAAAAGTCAAATATTAGATTTATTTAGCCAAGAGAAGTAGAGTTGGTAGAAGAAGAATTTGTAGAAACAGAGTTAATTTTTCGATCATCTTTAAGTGTATACATGGATCTCACACGAAGAAAAACCTAGTATACAAAAATGTGTGAAATAAACACAGGAGAGGTTAATCATTTATACCTGTATTATATACACAAATACACACAGATTAATTATAGGCAGATATTTACATAGCGTTTCCAGGGGCTGGATGTCATGCTAAGCTCTATGTACAGCTGCGCATTCGCTCATTTAGCCCTTTTAACAACCCGATGAAATAGATACAAATATTATTCTTATTTTAGGAGGAGGAGTCTGAGGCACTCAAAGGTAAAGTAACTTACCTTTGTTGCCATATGGATCTGGAATTTAAATCTAAGTGGACTGGTTGCGGTGTCCATGCTCTAAACCATTATTTTGGGGGCACCTGGGTGGCTCAGTCGTTAAGCATCTGCCTTCTGCTCAGGTCATGATCCCGCATCGGGCTCCCTGCTCAGCGGGAAGCCTGCTTCTCCCTCTCCCACTCCCCCTGCTTGTGTTCCCTCTCTCGCTGTCTCTCTCTCTGTCAAAAAATAAATAAAATCTTAAAAAAAAATAAACCATTTTGTACTGTATGTATATATGTACATATATATGTTACATACACTGTGTGAGTCTATACATGTATGTATTCATCTATCTATATACATATGTATGCTATCTGTGAGTGTACCCCCCCCACACAGATGCATATATGTCTATAGGTAATGTCTTAACATATATACACATTTTTGCTTTACAAAAAGATGCAGGGGTAACTGGGTGATGGGTTTTGTTTTGTTTTTTTTTTTTAAAGATTTTATTTATTTATTTGACAGAGAGATAGAGAGAGAGAACAAGTAGGCAGAGAGAGAGGGAGAAGCAGGCTCCCTGCCGAGCAGGGAGCCCGATGCGGGGCTCGATCCCAGGACTCTGGGATCACGACCTGAGCCGAAGGCAGCCGCTTAACCAACTGAGCCACCCAGGCGCCCCATGGGTGATGGGTTTTAAGGAGGGCACGTATTGGGATGAGCACTGGATGTTATACACGACTAATAAATCATTGAACACTACAACAAAAACTTATGAGGTACTGTATGCTGGCTAACCGAACATAATAAAAAAGGTGCAGTTTCCTTTAAAGAGTAAGCATACTTATTTATTTATTAATATGTTATGTTAATCACCATACATTACATCATTAGTTTTTGATGTAGTGTTCCATGATTCATTGTTTGCATATAATACCCAGTGCTCCAAAGCATACTTATTTAAATAATATTGGGACTCACAAATAGGTAAGCAAGAATTTTTAAGAGAAAAACACTTCTGTTATCATGTGATAGCCCATTACAAATCCTTTGCAGTGAAAGTTTTTGAGACAGATTAACTGGAAGGCACAAGTAGTTCAATGGAAAGTCTTACACATTTGTTCTGAGTTATTTTAGCATGTGATGGATAAATTTGGTGAAAAATGTGTTCTTTGGGGATTTTCCTGAGGATCAAAAAACAAACATAAAGGCTGGCTTTTAAATATTAAGTCTCTGCAACTCAGTGGCTCAATGGCTCATTGTTTTCTAATTGGCTAATTGGCAGGAGGGGAGAGGGGTTGGTATTGGGGAGGGTGGCATGTTCTTGAGACTGTATGCACAACAAGGGGACCATTGAAAATTTGGAGTTTGGGTTTGTTTTGCTTTACCTGCTGTTATTTTAATAAATTAGGCAAGGTGCTTATTAAAGGATTGCCCAGTGAAGTAGTTGAAATATCATTTTTACAAATATCATCTAACATTTTCTTGGAAATGGGTCTGGGTTTAATTCAATAATCTTTTAAATGACAAATATGCACATGGTTATAAAAATTAAAATATTCTTTTATTTCCTATTGATTTACTTAAGAGAAAATTTAGAAACCTTCCTATGTTGGATTGAAATTCTTTAATTACTTAAATATTTATAATTTGATAATTATAATGCAAACTTAATTGAAAGGTCAATTCAAAATGAACTCACAACGTAAACATTTGGTCAATTTAATTAAACAGTATTGAGTTTAACAAGTTTGTAACAATAATGAACAAACATAAATTGAGGAAGAGAAGTGAAAGTCTCAGAAGGCTGAGAATGATGAATAAGTAGGGAGGATGATACCAGTCACACTGGCCCTTGTTTCATTGTCCTGAAGTTGTAGAGAATTAATGAAATATTTGAGTAGCAAAGATAAGAGACAAAGATGCTTTATGGAATACTGGTGATGAAAGTCTTCTTGTGAAAGGGCAGCCGCTCAACTTGGTTGACGCCTATTAAAGACTAAATTAGCCTATTTTTGAAACACAGAAGCCCAGCAGAGCCGTTCCTTCCCTAGGCTCATATTCTCCTTTGTCTAGTGGGATGTATGTTGTGAATGTAAATGAACTTTTCAGACTCAGTTATGAAGTGACTCGTGGAGCATCAGCAAGCATTTCTGTCCTCTCTGTCAGCTGGATTTCCTTGGGGGACTGTCTGCCTCATCCCCTGCCCTGCCCTATCCAGTCTCCCCTGCGATTAGAGGTCTCTGGGGACAGGGAGTGTTTTCCCCCCTGCAGCTTGCACCCTGCCTATTCTTAGCTAAGGTTTCTGCTTTAAACCCTTCTCTGTTTCCGCACCCTGGTCGTGCGTGGAGCTACAACTTTAGGACCCCCACTTCTATCTTTCTTGAAAAAGACCAAAAGCAGGTGCAGCTCCACTGCCCATCCCACATTTCTCCCCCTGGCACTGCTCAGATCTTGTCAACAGAGGCAACCCTCCACATAAGAGGTACCATTAGATCATATCAGCCCCAGGAGAGAAAAATCGGTCAGCACTGGAGGAATGGATGGTAAAATTCTCAAAGGCACAGAACTTGTCTTATTCATCTTCACATTTCCAGAGCTACCAACAATGCCCAGCAGTCACTTCAATAATTTTGGTTGCACTGAACTTGGACTCCTTTTCTTCCCCCTCCCAACCTCACCTTCAGGATCAGTGGCCCCATTGTGGATTTCTTATGAAATTACCAAAAAATATTTTATTTATAATGCCCAGCATGTGATTTGTTCCAGATTAACAAAATTTCCAAAATTCAGATGCCTTAACTAAAAAAAATTTTTAAGAGATGAGCTATGATATATAAATTTGGGATATAAGGCATGATAATAAAGAAATGAGTTTTAAAACTGTATTAGTAAAAAACTGGTGATTACTAAAATGTCCTTTAATAGTTGAATGGATAGGGGTGCCTGGGTGACTCAGTCAGTTAAGCATCCATCTGCAGGGCATATTTGGCAATGTCTGGAGACATATTTTGGGTTATCACACTGGGGATGTGCGTTGCTACTGGCAGGTAGTGGGTAGAGGCCAAGGATGTTGCTCAACATCCTAAAATGTACAGGGTAGCCCCCACAGCAAAGAATTGTTCAGCCCAAAACATCAATAGTGCTGGGGTTGAGAAGCCCTATCTTAGAGGAGTAGCGGCTGAAAGCATGCACAGGAAAGCTTCTGGAGTCTGGCAATATTCTGTTTCTTAACCCTCTGAGCCACCCAGGTGCCTCAAGGTAATATTCTGTTTCTTATCTGTTTGCTGATTACACAAATGTGCTAAATGGGAAAATTCATCAAGCTATACACATTTGGTATGTGTACTTCTCTATATGTACACTATCTTCAAACAAAATGTTTTAAAAATGTTAAAAAGCCACCTATGTTTTCAGTTAATGCCAAAACCCACATAATTGTTTTTTTAATTTAATTTAATTTAATTATGTTATGTTAGTCACTATACAATACATTATTAGCTTTTAATTGAAAGGCTTTTGTATCTAAGAAAAAAAATAAAAAATAAAATCATGCTATGAAACATAGAAAAAAAAGCCACCTATGCTTTGGAAAACTTTGTTTAATAAAAATATATCCTAAGACTCAATTAAAGAATATATTAAGTAGATATCAGCTTACATTAACCAAAATCATCTAGACTTTGTAGAAAACAGGAAAAAAAGTAACGTGTTATAGAAAACCCTAAATGTTTAATGGTAAGACAATTTAAATCTTTCACTCATCAAAATCTTGCAGTGAATATCAGGATTTAGGATGCACTTTAAAATGGCAATGACAACTTCATAAAAAAGACTCATGCACTAATAAAAAATGCATGAATATTTTATTTACCAGAAAATCTTGCTTGATCTATAGATAGGAATCCGGCCAAGCCACTTAGAATCAGAATTTGTTGTGTCAGCATCTGCAGAAACCAAAGCAGAAAATCACTACTTTAAAATGCCTCAGTGTTTTGCATAGTCTCTTGTTGGGGCCTCTTTTCAGTCTGCACATCCACAGCATCCCTTGCTCTGGGATTGTTGGTTCACAAACACTGCATGCACGGAGGCCAGGCAGAGATTGAAGAACGGGGTAGGCCACTCCAGATTGGCAGGTGGCAGGTTTAACAAGCAAGGGAACTTACTTACCAGGCTTGTCTTGGGTAGCCATGAGACTAGTAGACCCATACCCACTGCTGAAATCTTAAAATTTTATATAGCAGCGTGTATGAGGTTCAGTCATATATAGAGACCTTCCAGAGGGTCTCAACACCACCTCACTATTTTGTCTGTGTCCTTGAAAATGGCTCCAATTGTGGGAAAGGTAGGCAGAAGGTACATTCCAAGGACAGGGAGGGGGCGAAGAGCCTCCAATTGCCCACTTGTAGCTTGTGGATCAACCAGCGATCACATCCTCTTGATGACCTTCCCCAACAGTGATGAGGTCCTTTGGCCCATGAAATTTACAAGATTTTCACTGCATGCATTGTTTTTAACAGAGTATTCTGAATGGAAAAGTCTATCGTGCTCATCCTGTCCATGCCTCCCATTTGTATGTTGGGTGTGTTGAAGGCATGTAACTTGTTTTTTTAGTTCACAGGCCTCCAACCAAGCCTCATGTGGAAGGATGTAGGTCCCCAAATCATGGACTCCAGTACAGATGGAAAAAGGTCTTGGGAGGAGTTAAGTGTATTTTTGCATATAGAAGAAATGTGAATAATTTTGGCCAGAAGATGGGCTATGAAAGATTACCTACAAAAATGGCCATAGTTACTTTCTTCCCTCTATCTACACTCCATGCACTGTGACTTTGCAGTTCTTACTTATGGAGAGGGAGTCCATTTCACCACTGCTTTAAATCTGGACTGGACTCAAGGCTTGTTTTGATTAATAGAGTATAGGGAAAGTGAGGCCATCCCAGTTTGGAGCCTAATGTTCACGAGGTCTTGCACACTTCTGCTCACTTAGAGCCATGCCTGTGCCATGTGAGTAAGCCTAGGCTGGTCCTCTAGATAATTACAGACTACATGGAGTAGAGGAAAACCATCCCAGGTGAGACCATCCTAGATCAGCTGGGCCCAGCTAATCTAGGGGATGCTCACAGATACATGAGTTAAGTCTAGCCAAGACCAGAAAATTAACTGAGCTGAGCCCAGTTCATATTGGCAACCCACAAAATCATGAACCAAATAATTTAGAGTGATTTCTTATGCACCTTTGTTCTCATAAAGATGACTATAAGCAGCTCTGGCATTTATTCTATTCATGTCAAGTCCATTTATTTTATTAATAGACCCTCTTTCTCAATAGTAAGTCCCTGAATGGAGTATCATTGACCTAGCTCAAGTAACCTAGCAAAGTGGCCAGGGAGTTGGATGCTTGGTGGCCATACCTAGGTCCTTCTCAGAAACTGGGGTGATGGGATAGACTGTGGAAGAGTGATGATCCCCAAAAGACAAAAATCAGAGCTGTCCAATGCACAGGATGCACTGTATCTCATTGTCTCTAATGTTAGAATTCAGCTGCTATGATGTTCCCAACTGGTTGGTTATTCATTACTCTGTAGATTCTGTCATTACCACAATCACCAGAGCAATTCATTCATTAGTTTTTCTATTTGCATGATTCGAAACATGGAAGATCACTAGGGGAAAAAAGTCATTTCAAAACAAGTTTCGTATTTTGGATGCTTTAGTGTTGGGATTTCTGGATAACTTATTTTCTACCATATTTTATCCTTGAAGCATACCAGAGCTCTTTTCTCCTGAAAGTGAAGGAAGTTGTTGGCCAGTTTTACACTGTCATGTGTTATGGAATGACACATATCATAGCAAATACTCCCATTTTTATGCAAAGTAGGAAAAAAAAAGGAAAGTAGAATTAGAAGAAAAAATGAAGAAAGATGTTAATGCTTGAATAATAAGTATAGAGAATTGACAGATAATGGACAAAAGAGTACTATTTCCTTTAATCTTACTTAATAAGCTTTGTCTTCTAGCTTTTTGATTTTCTCTGACTCACTGTAGATGTGCTTGACTTGAATTTATTTACCCTCAAAAATAATGAAGACTAAGAGGTGGACATGGTGTATGAGTGGGAAAGCCAGTGGAAAGAATTGACAGGGCTTAATAACCCTCCAGGAGATGAAGAGTGTGTGGGCTCCTTCTGTTGAAACACCAGTTTTGTGATGGGTAATTCACCAAATCATCCTGGTGAGTAAATCACTCAGGAATCAAGAAATGAATTATAATACATCCATAGGATGGAATAATCTGCAGCTGTCGAATAGTGACAGGGTGAGTGTACACAACATTTTGCCAAGTGAAAAATATATCTAGCAGTGTATTATATCATCATTTTCATAATATATGTATTATAAATATAACAAAATATTACCAGCGGGGTCTCCAAAGACAGATTATTTGAGCGCAAATTCCCTTTAATGTTTCTTTATGTTTTATAGGCTCCCACTGTTAGAATGTATTACTTTTATAATTATAAAATATAAAAATAAAAATGTAAAGTGCATCAGTTAACCTATTGATAGTCATGCTGATAAAATATTTGCAACCAGAAAAAACTGATTGCCTAGCTCCTCAAGACATGTCCCTCTTGTATGAATTTTGAAATCTGTATTGTAGTTTGATGAGGATATTCTTTTGAGGGATGCCAGGTCTAGGCTAAACTAAATAATTCTGATATTTACAGAGTACACACTCTATGTCAGATCCTGTTCTAAGTATTTTATAAGCTTTCATTCATGGGCTACTCACAATATCCTATGAGGTATTTACTACTGTTATCATTTTACACATGAGACAATTGAAGCATGGAGATTTTAAGTTAAGATATGGTGGAGTCAGACTCCTGGGTTCTTGCTCTTGACAACTATTCTACAGTTCTCTCCTGCCTTGTGAGGCAGGCCATTCCAGGTATCACTCATCTGAAAAGGAAAGACTTCTTAGAGAAGAAAGAACTGTGAACACAGAGCTGAAGTAACCACAAGGTCTTAACTTTTTTCTCTTTGTCTATTCATGGAGGAACTCACCTTGAGTTTTCAGGACAGCATCTACCATATAGAAGCTGAAGGGAGATGTGGGAAAGAAGAGACTCCAGCACAACCTTTGCTTTAACAGGGGTCCCCTTTTTAAGGGCTAGAATACAATTCAGGTAACCAAACTGATATCTCAGGATATGCTACCCATAAGATATTGGTTGTGTACTAACATAAAATATTCTGTACTTTCATAAGCTTGGGAATCACTGCATTAGGAAAAGTTAGAGGTCTGTTGCATGACTTCTCAGAGCCTTTGTTATGCTCATGTACATTTTAGTATCTATGAGGTAGATATAGTGTGCACCATTCCCCGTTTTTGTTGAACCACAAACATCTTTTCATGAAGCATCTTCTATTAGCCCCCCAAATTAGTGTTCTGTGGAACAAAATTGGAGAAACACTAGTCTCAAATAATGGTACTCTTGATATTATTTCCATTTTCCCTTAGTTTTAAGTGATTTTTAAAAAATATCTAAACCTTATCTCAAGTGTCCTCTGGAGACATAAGAAAAGGATTTATATCCCTGTTTGGATATGTTTCTTAGAAGAAGAGTAGAGATCTACTGAGGTCAACATGGTGGAAGTAGTCATGAGCTCCTAGGGGAAATAAATCTTGGTGGTGGAATAGGAACAGTGTTTAAAAGTTCACCCAGTCCACCATGAGCTCTCTCCCCATGTACAGTAAACTTTGGGAGGTTTATTGTTAATGAAGCAGTGTTTCCTTCTAGTAATGTTAATGGAGCTTGGTCTGTTGAATTTTAGAACTTCCTATATGATACACATGGTTACCAGATAAGCATATGGAAGAGCTCATCATCAATGGCTTGACTCAAAAGACAAGATGGCCATGGCGTGGGAATGATGCTACATTCTCATTTTTCATATGATGAAGAAATGAGATACTTTATATAACTCAACAGTCAGTGCAGAAAGCCCTTTCCAGAATTTGGCTCCTGCACATGCTCATCTTTGAAAATACTGTAGAGTATATATTAGGTTGAGTTGTAAGGTCATAAATGGAAAGAAGTTTAACATTCCTGCTAGGAAGAGACTGCCAGGTAAATTACTAGAAGCATTACTGTGCTTGCTAACATAACCAGCTGATAAATATTCCAAAACATTTTTGTGAATGCCTAAGAATTGCAATTATGCCTTATTTTCAAAATGGTGGACAGGGAACAAGAATAATGAAGGAAACCCATAGAAAATCACTAAGATAAACTGTTAGATCACCTTTGACTTACAATCCGTTTCATTCAGTTAGTAAGACATTCTAAATTATCCAGCCAAACAGCTAACCTGCTTCCTGAATGAGCCCAGCAAGATCAGCCAGCCCAGTCCCAAAGACCCACCTAGACAACCCATAGAACGATGACCTAGTAAGTGCTTATTATTTTAAGTTGCAAAGTTTTGAGGTGGTTTGTTACACAGCAAAACCTAACTGATGCGGTGTTCTTGGCATGGTGAGGATCTGGAGTCTTTCCCTTGATGACCTGACCCCACTTTGCCTCTTAATGTCTTGACAGAACCTCTGAATTTCAGCCAAATCCCCCATCAGGTCCCTGGCCTTGGCAAACTACCTCATATTCCCTGTGTGGGAATGATATGAGGTACTGCCTACCCCCTCCCAACACTGACCCCTGCAGGCTTGCCGACCCTCAACAATCAGTACCTTCTACATTCTTTCACAGGGAGTATGGAGGCATTTGTGGATTTCTTCTATGCTATGTAACAGTCAAGGGGCTCTTGGGGTTCCATCTCCTACTTCTTTCTCACCTTAAATCTGACATGGTTCCACTCCTATTTGGCAGCAGCTGCTCTGTGTTGCCAGATGGCAGCCATGTGGTGCTGTCTCCTTCCAGAGTTCCTAATGAGCTGTGGAAATAAATGAAGACCATGAATATAAGAAAGCCACCATTGCTTGTGTTTGGTAGACTCAAAAGCAGGCAGGAGAGTAGGAAAACTTTATAACAAAAGAAAAAAGGAAGGTGTTAGGTATGATCTGATTGGACGTTGTTGGTATAGGAACTCTGGATCAGTAACTAGAGGTGGGGCATCTTATGGGATTAGTTTGGCAAGCATATTTGGCTTTCTCCATTTGATCCTGACTTGGAAGCTGAGGCAAAAAAATTAAAAAGTTGGCAATTATTAACAATTGCTAATTGTTCTGGGCCAATTGCTACAGTTCACTTTCTGAACTGGTTGCTGTAGAGGTTGTGAGTCAGCATTCTATTGTCATATATAGGCTGGCCATTTTCCTTTGTGTATTCAATCCCTCAGTCTCACTTTTGGTCATTCTCTCACTCTTGCAAGTGGCAGGTTGACCAATTCAGAGAAGGCTACAGATCCATATCTTCACTGTGGGGATGGTTCAGTTGTCTCCATGGTCAACTGTGTTGCAAGATCATCCTGAGCTTTTTGTTGTCACATTTTCACAGTGATTATCTGTCAAAAGAGCAGCTATGTAGTAAGATTTACAGTTCTGGATAGAATGCCAGAGACCAAATCATGACCACTGACAAAAACAAGAATAATTAATAGTACCTATAAGACACAAGAACTAGGAACCCCAATTGCCCAACTCAGGCCAAGTAAACAAATTTCATGGGCCATGAAGATCAACCTTAAAAAACCAAGTAGTTTTTTTCCTTAAGTCAGTGTGTTGCCTGTTATATTTTGCCTGTTTCATTAATCTAAGTACAGCAAGAAGTATTAGCAATGGCACAAAAACCACCATGAATAGCCAGCAAAAAATCTAGAGCAATACAATTGTCCATCATTACCTGTGCCAATGAGTAAAGATTGGTCTGATCTTCCACCACCCTTGTTTGGGGACTTGTATCTCAGATGGAATTTGCCAAGTTTGTGATTTCTAGAATTAGGGTCTCAGTATACAGATAAGTCTTAGCATACTATTGGTAAAGTGCATGAAGTTATTATGAGTCTGAGGCAAACAAGACCAGGCATTCTGGCTGCAAAAAAAGTAGTATCCGGTAGGGGGCATATGGAGACACAGGAGAAAAGGAGTTGCTTATGGTGGAAGATCAGAAGAAAGGTCTTCGATTAGCCCAGTTACAGTTTGATCTCTATTAACCTCTTCCAGGTGGCAAGTAATTGGCCCATCAGCCCCACGAAGGTTGTTGAATTCAAATGTCTTGCAATAATTGGTTTTCTGTGACAGAAGGGCACTACCATATTCATGTGTTGATTTATTTAAGACCATTTGTTTATTTAGATGCAAATGCCATCAACTGCCATTCCTTGTGATCTTGCTTATTAAGACTGAAATTCTCTAGAGGTTTTTATCATGATGATCTGGTGGTGGATGGCATATACCACAATTGGTAAAACTCAGGGCAGTGGCTACTGTTTGGGATAATCTAAGAATGGCACTAGAATAGGTATGTTCTGAACTAACAGTTATAATAAAGAGGAAGGAAAAGAGGAAAAGTGCCATTATGGGTGGACAATAACCAAAGGTCTGTAGAAAATGAGAATGGTTATGAGCAAGCAGATGAATAACAAAATAGGAATTAGCCAGTAGTCTAGTCCCATGTCTTAGGCAGTGACTATCTACTATCCTAAGTCATCTGCATATTCCACAGACCCGGCTCAGCTACTTACTTTCAAAAGTCAGCTGCTACTAGTGGATCTCTGAGAACTTGAAATTTGAGGTCCCTTATAGGAGTAGCCTGCCAACCATGTGGAATTCCGAATTGCTTCTTTAATTGTGAAACATGACTCCCTGGAGTTTCACTACTGTATTTGTTGCTAACAAATGATACATGATAAGGTCCATTCCAGTGAAGTTCAAGAGTAGTTTTTTCTCTGACATATCTTCTAATAGATGAAATTTTCTGTTTTAAGAACATCAGGAGGCTGAGGCTGTTTAGGAAGATGTTGTGGGGAGGCAGCCTTAACCTGGTGATGATGGGGTTGAGCACATGAGTCTCTTGCAATATTTTGCCAACTCTGCAAGAAGCAGGGCAGAATATCAGAGGTGAAATTCCTAAATGTGTGGGTCTTGCAGTTACCAAATGTTAAGGGGATAACTGTTGTGTCCCTAAGGGAGTGGACTGTATGGCCATAATCTCCTACAGTTTCATCTTTTCTTTGTGTGCACGATTGAATTATGGTCTAATAAAATTTTGTTGGAAATGTTTTGGGTATGGCTTTTAGTAGACTTTGCCCTAACTTTGGGGCCCTTCTCAACCCTCAGGTTTATTATAAAAGAGGGACTCTGCAGATCCCTTTCTATGTTCGTCCAATCAGTTTTTGCCACCCAGGATTTAGCATCTGAGGTTTTGACCAACATGTGTACGAGTTGATATACATGTTGGGACATATGCACCTAAAAGAAGGCTATATTCTATGAATAGCAGCTGGCCTTCTCTGGGTTAGGGAAATTCTGAATTATAACTGTGAATTCAGTTCAGATCCAAGGCACACTTGACTCATGGGAGGGATGGATTTTTAGAAGCAACCAGAATTTGGGATTCTTAGGAAAGTCAGTAGGAAAAGATAGGGGATCTGGACAAGGGAAAGAAGAGAGAGAAATTATCAGAAGTGTGGAAGGAGAGAGATCAGAAGGATAAGAAGAATGAAGGAGAGCTAGATTTAAAGAGGTAACAGGAGGACACGGAGGGAGAATTTACTCAGGAAATGAGTCTAGTTTGTCATTGCTTAAGATTGTCAGGTTGCTCATTAGATTTGGCTGAAGAGTATTCTAGTGAAGGAATTTTTTCAATCAGAATTTCGTTTGGAGGCCTCTGCATATCAATACAAATGCTGCCTATTAAATCTGAGAAATTTTAGATCCTTTCTTTTCCAAGGCATCTCTCAGACGAACAATTTTATTCAAACCAAATGTTCCCAGAGTGGTTACTGAAGCTCCAAATCATCACTGGTGAAGATGTGCCATTTAGAGCAACATATGAGAGAATTAGGATTATAAGAAGAGTTCACGTAGAAAGGAGGAGTTTCTCCTGGAGGAGGAGGAGGAGAAAAGGTTTTAGACCGAGATGCTTCCTTGGGAGCAGGCAACTGTGAGTGAAAAGTGATGCTTGTGCATTTTGTATCTTGGACCCCCAACCTCATGGTTTGGCTGCCTCTGCACACAGACTTGACCATCAGCACCTCCAGGCAGGTGGAACCAAAGAGAACATTCACCAAAGAGAACATTCTCCTTGGATCAAAGCCAAGCTCTCAGAACAAAAAGAACAACAACAGCAAAAGGGGTGGAAGGAAAATCTCACCTAGTTTTGTCAGTAACTTGGCAAAATTTGTCAAAATGGGCTCTGGTTTGGTGAGAACCACAAACTCAGCTTATAGGGCCCTCTGCCTGTTTCCTATTCTGTGATTCTCCTTAATATGACAAACACTTTTAGATAGCACATCACAAAACAGAAGCACAAAAGAGAGCAAAATGGGTCCCCCCAAAATGACCTGATTACACCAAGGATGCCAAAACAATAGGAACAAAAACCAAAACCCAGGTACCAAACTGAGAACGTATAGCTGTGGAATTCCACACCCAGAGAGCAGAGCTCAGAACCAGGGCTGATTCGCAAATGTTTGGTGAGAACTTGACAAGCCATTAGTGCAAGGCACAATGGGCCTCTATGGGCACCTTGCTTGGTAAAGGCTGGGATCTGTGGTGGTGGGCAATGCAGTCTGTCTCAATAAGACCATTAGGAAAACTGTGGAAATAAATGAAGACCACCCAGATGAGAATAAACGGAAGCTTTTCATTCAGCGCTTGTGTTTGGCAGAGACTCAAAGGCAGGCAGCAGAATAGGAAAGTTTTATAATGAAAAAGAGGGAAGACTTCAGGCAACCTCCCTGACTGCAGGTTGGGGGCATGAGGAACTTGGAAGCAGGCTAACTAGAAGCAGGGCATCCTAGTGACTGAGTTGGGAGCATATACATCTGGTTGACGCTAGGTTGGAAGCAGGGGCCAAAAAATAGGGAAGCTGGTAGCCATTGATCAAGTCCAGATCATTGAGGGCTGATAACTGCAGAGGGGTGGTTTGGCTTCCTGGCTGGTTGCTGGAGAGGTTGTGGGTCAGTCCTGTTGTCATCTATCGTCTGGCTGTTGTCCATTTGTACATTCAGTCTCTCAGGGGCTCAATCTGCTAGCCCCAAATGCTATGTCATCTCCATCTTCTTACCACCTTCCCACATTTCCCATTCTGGGTCCCCTGGGGACCAAGAAAGATTCAGTCCTGGATCCTTGGGAGAACCAAATAGTGTTGTTTACCTACTCACATTCATTCCAAATGATTCTCTTGCTCTTGTGGCAGAGAGTTCTCCTTCCCCTTCTTCTTCTCCTTTTTCCTCTCCTTCTTCTTCCTCTTCTTCTTCCTCCTCCTCTTCCTCCCCTTCCTCTTCCTCCTCTTCTTTTCTTCCTCCTCCTCTTCTTTCTTCTTCTCCTTTTTTCCATCTTCTTTACCCCTTATTCTCCTTTTCCTCCTCCTTCTCTTCCTCTTCCTTCTCTTTTCCCTTTCTATAGAGCAGAATCTTCTCTCATGTTATATTCCCTTTCTTTTCTACCTTAGATTTCTATATTCCAGGTAGGATCCATCTTTTTTGTCTCCTGGAACCATAAGCCTCTTGGCTCTGCCTTAAAGATAGTGAAGGTCCTAGTGGAGGGGGCGGAATTACTGAGCAGAGAAATAGCCTCAATGAACTGGTAACATCACTGCAGCCAGCATTAAGATTCTTCACTTCTGGAAGGAATTTTAAAATACATGAAAATTCAGGTCACCTGATTTAAAAAAATATCAATGTGAATATTCAGCATGCATGAAAGCTTCTGAACATCTTTGAATTGTAAATGTTGGTGGAGGAGCATTTTCTCTGGCATCTTCATTCATTTAATAAATATCTTTCCCCACTTCCTTTGTGCTAGGCTCTGTCCAAGGAACTTGGAGATATCTGTGAGCAAAACAAAAATCTCTGCCCTGGTGCAGCTTATATCCTAGTGGGGAAGACAAACAATAAGTATCAAACAGAATAAGAAAGTTAAGATTGTGTTAAAAGGTGACAAATGCTGTGGAATAAAGAAAATGCATAGCAGGGTAGGGAGGGTCAGGCATTGAGGGAAAGAGGACAGATTCATCTGTCTGCTTCTCTTTGGGGATGCCTAACTGCCATTTCAATGAAACTTTATTGTTAAGCCTCAGTGAATAAGATCATGACAATTAAACCATCCCTAAGGCTTTGAGGACTGTTATGAAGGGGATGCACACTCACACACAAGGCACTGGCTAAGTTTCCGGGCATTACTGCTAATTTTATTAACCTTCAGCACAACTGTAGGCTGAGTCAGCTGCCTCAGACGTCAATTGGTTCAGGATTCAGAGAAGCATAGTATCTGATTTGGCTACAGAGGTTATTAACTAAGCCTGGATTTTATTGTAGGGATCTAATTTATAATAAGAAAAATTGTAAGAGGAGACAGTCACAAATAAAGACTGTAATTCAGTAATCATCTACTCCTGTAAAATAGTATTTTTTTTTTTATCAGTATCTCTTAGCAGCACCAGGATCCCTTATTGGATATTGTAATCAGTGAATGACAAGATTCTATAATTACTTCTACACTGTCCATCCAAGATAGAATCAACTTTACTAAAGAAAGCAATAAAGCTTTTTAGAAGCCATTATTTAGTAGGGTGTGAATAGCTGTATAATAAAATATTAATTGTTCTAAAAAATACCTTGGAGAAAAACACTGTACTTACCAGAAACAATGAATTCTTTTCTATGCGTTTCTATTTTTAGTTCTGTTTAGTCCAGTATGATCTATTTCATCAATATAAGATAACATGTATGGTCACATGTCTTTTGTTTTTCCAGGTAATCCACTGCTGAAGAGCAGAATGTCCAGGATTTCCATTTTGAAGACTCCCACTTCCCCTTGACTTGTCCAAAACCATGACTGTTCACTTAGTCCAGTGAGCTCCATCCCATTTCTTTGTACAGCAAGCAGACTGGATGTGTGTCATGGTCCTCTGCTCTTTTGCTATCTTGTGCTGGGTGGAGCTGTTGAGGACTGGTCCTTTGTGGCTCAGTTTGTAAAAGATTTGTGTGAATGCAAGTTTTCATTTCTCCAGGACAAATAACTAAGGTGAAATTTATGGGTTGTGTGGTAGGTTCAATTTTAGTTTTAAAAGAAATAGCCACATTGTTTTCCTGAGTGGTTGCACCATTTTACATTCCCACCAGCAATCCATACGTATCACAATTTCTCTGTCTCCTCATCAGGATTTGGTGTCATCACAATTTTTTATCTTAACCCATTCTAATAGTACGTAGTGATATCTCATTATAGTTTTAATTTACATTTCCCTTGGCTAATGATGTTGAGCACCTTTTCATGTGCTTATTTGTCAGCTGTATACACTCTTTGGTGAAATATCTCTTCATATCATTTGCTCATTTTCTAATTAGACTGGGAGTTTTTACTATTGAATATTGAGAGTTCTTTATATATTCCAGATATAAGTCCTTTGTCAGATATGTTATTTGAAAATATTTTTCCCAGTGTACCATTGTCTTTTCATCCTCTTAATAGGGTCTTTTACAGAACAAATGGGTTTAAAAAATTTTTTTGATGAGGTCCAATTTAACAAATTTTCTTTTCACCCACTTACTTTTCATTTAACAAATAATCGTTGGATATCTACAATTTATCAAAATAATGTTCGAGGTGCCCATAGGAATCAAAGATGTGACATAGTTCCAACTTCAAGGCATTTCCAGTCTAATTAGGGAGACTGGAGATACACCCAAATAACTGATACTACATAACAAACACTAAGTTGAAATGGGAGAGGTAGAGATACATTTTTCTGGAAAATCAGATATTATGTTTTGGCTGATAGGGAAGTAATGGGCGAAGGTTTCATCACTTCTATGCCAGCACATGCCACAAAATGGTATACAAACTTCCTTTATAAACTCATTTTTTTTCCAGACTAAAATGATCATTTTTAGATAGCTAACATGCTAAATCTCATTATGTGCCAAGCAATTTCACATACATTGTATCAATTAATAACAATCTTGCAGGGCAGTGGAGAGGATTATGCCACATTTTATATTTAGGGAATCTAGGATTCAGCAAAGTTAAGTAACTTGTCCAAGGTCACAAAGACAGGAAGCAGTAAGGTCATACTGGTACCCCAGTCTTGTGATTAATGCTCTTTTAATTCTACCCAGAATCCTCCTGAGACATGTCCTTTTCTTGCCAGGATAAACTCATCAATCTTCTGGCTAAGAAATGGACTGTCTGATTCATGTTTTAAAAGAAGATGAGATACATATGCTTGGTGCACAAAAGTCAATGAGCTCTTCTTGATAAAGGGAGAATCCATTAAAACTTTCACAGTGGTCAAGATCATGCAGAAAAGGGAAAAACAAACACTGCCTGTGAGTCATGAGAAGCAAAAGAAGAGATGGTTATTCAGTAAAATTTTGCTGAATGACAGACAGCTCAGGATGGAGTAATCAAGGGGGTAGCACATTAGGTCATCTTGCAGGCTCATTGTTACCCAACTCATCTTCAAATGCCACACCTTTCATGGAGAATGTTAAAAAAAAAAAAAAATCAGTAATAGCTCAGGTGAAGAATGGAAGTTGTGTCTGTTTCTGACCTACAAGATGACAAATAGGGAACTGGGGCTCTTTCTTGTTCATAACATCTCAGGATTTCCATCTGTATTTTCTTCCTGTCTTATTTGTAACATTGCCCAACTCAACAAACTCTTCTGTATGTATTTGTTTTTCTTTTGAAATGTTTATCACTTACGTAAGATGTTAAAGATCTTGATTCTGAAAGAGTCTGTAAAGAGGCAAATTTATATGTTAGGTCAGTTTTGCAAACGCCAGCCTGGTATCAAATAACCTTTGAAGCCCCCATTCTTGTCCTGATGCTGCCACTACTGGGCCCCATGTGGAGAGTAATCCCTTCACATTCTGCATTTAACCCTTTACTCTGGTGGCCTGTGCCTGAAGTTAGACCTACCGTTTTGTATAACAAAAGGTAAAAATAAGAACATTGGACAAATACATTTGGTTGATTAGATTTCCTCTGGGGTAAACAGGACATGACGGCAATGGTGCCCCCAGGGAGAGGAACTGAGAGGCTGGGAGCAAGGACGGAAGGGAGTCTTGTTAACTGTGTATCCATCCACACTTTTGGAATTCTGTACCATGCCAACGCTAATCAAGCACAGGTAAATAAAATTGAATCTAAACAAAATAGGAACAAAACACAAACGTTCTTCCACTTTAGCCAGTTAGTGGATAATAAAATCCCTTTAAAAGAGAAACTCGATCATCAGAGAAATCAACTCTTCTATCTTCCAAGTTCCCTTCTTAAAGGTTATTGTTTTTGTTTTTTGCTGGGGCGGGCAGATCAGCAAAGGAGCCCTCCATTTCTACTGAGCAAATTCACACGGTGAGAACACTCTTAATCCACCGTCCTGAGAAAGGCTTCCAGGGTTTTAGGAATCACCAATGTAGCTCCACAAACGCGTTATTTCGATCGAGTGACTTCCCTGTTGCGGCTAAAACTGACAATGTATTTTCACAGCCCCGTTGTTGAGGCTGAGGCAGTCCGTCTTAGGGAGATTCCGGGCCCTGCGCCTGATAGATGCAAACGCTCTATGAAGCCCTGGCCTGGACGGGAACCTTTCAACTCCCAGGCGTTCTTCCAGGACCTGGACCTCCTGGCAGGGGCCCGAACGCGTCTCTCACTCGCGGCAATCTTCGGGCGTCCCTCTGGCAGCGCGGGCTCAGTAACCCGCCGGTGCGGCAGCGATGGGGGCTTCGGAGGTTTGGGCGCGTAGTACAGCCTGGGACAGACCCCGAGCCCAGCGCGAAGCCAGTCAGTGTCTGTTGAACGACTGAGCGTCGCTAGCACAGTCAATTCCTGACAGAATGGAAGGAATCCAGATCAGGGCATGGGTCACCACGGTGACTTTTAAATACCCAGGGACTGTGAAGTGAGGTAGAGCTGCCTTTGGAGAAGCGCCACGCCGGCTTTGGTGAGGCTCGGGAGGGAGGGCGCCCACACTCCGGAGCGCAAGCGGCCGCGCTGGTAGAGCCAGGAGACCCCGGATTCGGGTGACGCGTCACTCCGCGGTCAGGGAGGGTCCGGGCCCCCGGGGCTCAGGGGCAGGGGACAGGAAAAACCTCACTTCAAAGATAGGAGTGACCTGAGGTCTTGCTTGAGGGCTCCCGGGCCGCGGCCCCAGCACTGCACTGCGCGGCTGGGAAGAGCCCAGGAAGGGGCGCGAGTCCCCGCCCCGGGCGCGCGCAGCCCCAGCCCCGCCTCCTCCCGATGTGCCCCGCCCCTCCCGGCGCGTGCCGCCCGCGCGCCGGGGGAGCTCCCGAGGAACCGGCCTGGCGGGCACCTCCTGCCCCGGCGCAGGCGCGAGCGCGCACCGCCTCCCGGGACGGGCGCCCCGCCGGCGCCCCCGCCCCGCCTCCACACGCGCCCCCGCCCCGGGCACCTCTGATTGGCCGTCGGCCTGGCCAGCAGGTGTCGGCGGCGGCTGCGGCCAGGCTGGCCCCAGCTGCCTGCGGCGCGGGCGCCTCCCTCGCAGCCGCTGCCACCGCCGCGCTCCCGCCTCCTGCCCGCTCCCGGGCTCCCGCTGCGGCTGCGGTTCTGACGGCCGAGCCCCCGCGGCGCGGCACCTCAGATCCGGTGCGCCGACCGACCCGCGCCCCTGCCTCGCTGCTCGCAGCTCGCTCATCCACGCGCCGCGCTGCTGCGGCAGGTGCCCCGGGCGTCCTGAGGCGCGGTGGCCGCCATCGATGACCCCGGCCACGGACCTGCTCCAGCCCGGCCACCCCCTGTGAGTACCGTCCCTTCCCCTCTGGCGGCTTTGCTCCACTCTCCCGCTTGCGTTGCCGCAACTTCGGGGGTGGGTGTGTGGAGGTGTCTCTCACGTCCCCCTCCCCCCGACACACACCGGTGCGAGTCCTGAGTCAGGGCCCCAGGGCACGACCAGTCTGCCTCTGCGGAGGGGCTTGGGGGCGGGGGTGGGAGCCGTTGAACTTGCTCTAGGATCGTCGCAGAGTCGGAACCGCCCCTTTCTCCCTCGGCCCGGGCGGGAGCTCGCCTCTGCGTTTCCCTCGCGTTTGGCGTTCCCCACTGGCCACGTAGCTCCTGGGCTGCGGTTCACCGCGCACCTACTACGCTGCGGGCGCACCGGCGGGGCGCCTGGAACCATCGGGTAAGCAGCCCGGAGCACTTCGGGGCGCCGGACTTGACTCTTTCGGACTCTTAATTTCTGTAAAATGGGGCTAATCAGGGACTCGCTCAAGGTCATGGCCGGTGCGCGGAGTAAGAACCCTGGTGGGTCGCGTCTGGCCAGGTCCGCGGACTGCTTGGGTAGGGGCGCGCTGTTGCGGGTGGATGGCCACTTCAGCTTCATCCCGGTCTCCTTTTCATAATTCCTTCCCCGCCAACTCCGCCGGATTTGGAGAGGTCGAGAGCCGATCCCAAGGGACCCTACAGAGGTTTGGGGGGTATCCGCGGGGGACCTTTGGGGTGAGCGCGGAGCCGAGCGCTTCCGCGGCAGGGACTCCTGGATCTGCGGCATTTGCAGCATCTCCTCCATTCCCAGTCATTTAATTTGCTAAGGTCTCGGCAGGGTAGGGCAATTTGCTAGGGGCCTGCTCTTAGATCCATCCTGCTCCCTTTCCTTCTCCCAAATAAGCCCTGTCTCCGAGGGTAAGTATGGGAGAGACTAACTGTACACACCAGTTTGGGCCCAGGGACTTCGTAAGAGAGGAGAAGCGTGTACGCTCTGCTGTTGGCTTAGCCAACATTGGCTCTCATCTGCTCTAAGAAAATGCCTTAAGTCTGGCTTCATTCCTGCCCGCCCTACTCCCTGCCCCCAGATCTGGGTTTGTTGCACTTTCCCTGGGGAGGGTGGAGTCCAAGTCGCAGAATGTGTAACTGTTGCCAGATGTGAAGAGTTGACTCCGGCTCCTTTGAGGCAGCTCCTGTGGGGCTTTGGGTGGTTCTCAAAGCTTTGTACTGGGGACAGTCACCCCTCCTCTTTTGACATTCTTACTCTGTCCCTCAAACTCAGGCTACCTCGCCCTAACTCAGTGATCAGATGGTTACTTGGATAATTTTTTGATGTCTGACAAACATCTTTGAACCTCAACTTTTTTTTTTTTTTTTTTTTTTTGATTAATCTCTATGCCCAGCTTGGGGCTTGAACTCAGGATCAAGAGTGGAATGCTCTATTGGACTGAGCCAGCCAGATACCCCTGAGCCTTAATTTTTTTTAAATCTATAAAGCAGAACAATTCCTGCTTTTTAGTCTTCCCAAGGTAGTTAGGGTTCAGGGGACATGGTAGAGGTGAAAGTAGAAGGAAGATGGTTCCAGATGATCTGAGCTGTGGGTAGAAGTGGAGGTGATTTCAAGAATTTTTTGACAGCAGTCTCTGGGACTTTATTAGATCTAAGAATCTTTACAGAGAAATTTAGTTTGGTAAGACTTTGAAAATACTACATTTCATCTTCCAGTTGAAGTTCCTTACCTGTCCATGGGTAGCCACATCTCTCACAATGACCCCCTGCCTCATCTGTGGTGTGTGGGCTGGAAGCTAGCTGTCCCTGTAGGGTTAGGGCAGTCTGGTGGTGGTGAGGCACTGTGTGTGTGTGGGGGGGGGGAGGGGCAGTTGTCTCTGTGGAGCTGAAGTGTGTCTCTGTGGAGACAGGTGTATCTCTTTGTGGCCTTCGTTTCTTGTGGAAGGGGAAGGGGAGGGGCAGTTGTCTGCTCCAGAGTCTGCTCATTTTTGGAAGAGTTGAAGTGTTAGCCGGGCCCAGCAATGTAAACTAACAGTGGTCTAGATTGTATCCTGTCTCCTTCCTCTCCTCCCAGAGGGGCAGAAGGAGAGCTCATCTGTGGTCTTGGCCTTTGGAGAAATCAATTGGCGAAGACTGAAGTACCTCAGAGAGAAATGGGCATCCCCTGTTCTTAGTTCATATTGTGTCTGCAGTCTTTTGTCCCAAAGGCAAGTTAAAGAGGGACAACTGGTTAGAACTTGGTGACTTTGTTTTAATATTATATTAAGCCAGGACATAATCACAGAAAATGGCACAGATCTGAAGTGTACACTCTGGATTTTCACAAATTGACCACCCCTGTGTAACCAGTGCCCAGATTAAGACCTAGGATATTCCCAGTCTCCCCCTGTCCTCTATAGGTACTATCCCCCAAGGGTAATCATCATCCTGCTTTGTTTTATCAGGCAAGTTTTATTTTTATTCTTATTATTATTTATTTCACCAGTTTAGTTTCAAAGCTAAAATGAAACTGTTGGATGATTTTTCTACCTCCTCTTTTAATGTATGCAAACCAAAGGTAGTTATAGGTAAGCCAGTCCAGAAATCTAGAAGGGAGAATTCGGTCTTAGGATCTGGGTGGAGTCTAAACTGGTTGTCTCCTCCCCTCCCCGCAATAGGTTCTTGGGCAGTGAAACAAGCCAGACCCCAGATATAACAGGCTGATATTGATAAATTGAAGACAGTTTATTCATAGAGTGTATTTGAAAAATGCAAGTCTGAAATGGTGTCATGATAAAATATACATAAAAATGTTAATGGATTCTCATTTGAAACATAAAAATGGGAATGTTGTGAATTTCTCAAAATTAAAAATTGGTAGAGGATCACAGAATGTCAAGGCTGAGTGATCTATAAACTGTGTGTGCTGTTGCCACATGGTGGCGCCACGTTGGCTGGAGAACTGCAATACCCAACATTCTTTCCCAAGCCCCCAGGAAGGAGTCCCAGGAATAAAATCCAACAGTTCAGCATCTCCAGAACTGATTTCCAAGCACTGTGGTTTTTCCAGTGTTGGGCAGACAGGCCTCCCCTCTGGTGCCTGCTACACTAAGTCCATGGATCGAACCCTGTCCCAGCTTTTCAGGAGGTGGCTTGTGGGTTGGAGGCACGTGTGTTGGAGAAGGGGGAGCTGAGACACTGTGGCCCTCTCTTTGGTAGTATGGAACTGTGTAAAGAGAGTTGGCTGAGAAGCTAGCTCAGGTGTGTTGTGATTATCTTGGCCTCCTTTCACCCCAGAATTCCCCCAAAGGTGTCAGAGAAGGAGTTCTCTTTCCTGAGGCAGGTAGCTATTTGCACAGAGCACTGTCCGTGGTGAACTCGGAAGAATAAACAGGCATGGGTGTAGCCAAACTGCTGCCCGATGAAATGCCCTCTGGGTTCCACAGGGTGGGAGCCAAGTCCCAAGGGGAGACCACAGGGTGGGGGGCCTGTTGTATCCAGCTGTGGAGAGAGCCAAGCCGACCCATCCAGTGCCTTTTCTTTTTACTGTCAGTGTGTCCGAAATGCTGCTTAGAAGATTGTATTCATGCACTGGCTGCCATGCCCGTGGTTGCTAAGAGAGCTGAATATTTGCCATGTGCTAGACCCTACATATATATATATATTCAGTTAATCTTCATCACAGGACGAGGGTGGCTTTCTCATTTTCTAGATGAAGGAACTGGGCCTAGAAGCACTCTTTCTGAGTTTGCACATTATGGGAGCCAGAACAAGGACTGAGCGCCAAGTCTCGCAGATGACTTCCTCAGCTGAGTTATGTCCCCTTCTGTGGGGTGAGAGGAGCCTTGCACAATTCTTCTTCTGTCTTCCCTGGCACCTGGTAGAGTGCCTTACATGTAGTAGCTACTTAAGGCTAAATATGGGATTTCAATTAAGTAGAAACTTCCCTGCTGAGCGAAAGGTAAATCCAGACAGTGAAGGATGAGAGTTTGGGGTTGAGCCCATGAAACCTGCAACGTTGGGACTGAGTGTGGGCCCACCAGAATGTGGAGTCTTATTTTATGTTTAAAACTTTATGTAAATGGAGGTCTGTTATTTGTTTTTTTTTCCACCTAACATTGTTTTTTAAACATATGTTCATAACATTTGTTGATAATTATAAGTTTAGTTGATACATTTTAACATAGTATTTCCTTCTTTGGTATACCAGAGTTTAAATATTGCTCATTGGTGGACAAAAAGATGTTTTTACCTTTTGCTATTATGAAAAATATTGCAGGGAATATCCTTGATAAGGTCTTGTACAAATGTGTGTGTGTCTAGGATTTATATCCCCAGAAGTTGAAAACTGGGTAGGAGGATATGCTTACATCAATATCTGTCTGTTACTGGGTTTTGCAAATTGCCCTCTGTAGTGGTGGGGGCACTTTATACTCCCACTAGTACTGTATTGGAGTTCCTTGTAT